TATTAACTAGAAAATATCAGACAATGAATTAAATAAAAATAATCCAAGTAATAATTTTTAGTGATTACTTAGGGTTATCTTATTTTTTTTTTTTTTGACAGGCAGAGTGGACAGTGAGAGAGAGAGACAGAGAGAAAGGTCTTCCTTTGCCGATGGTTCACCCTCCAATGGCCGCCGCGGCCAGCGCACTGCGGCCGGCGCACCGAGCTGATCCGAAGCCAGAAGCCAGGTACTTATCCTGGTCTCCCATGGGGTGCAGGGCCCAAGCACTTGGGCCATGCTCCACTGCACTCCCTGGCCACAGCAGAGCGCTGGCCTGGAAGAGGGGCAACCGGGACAGAATCCGGCACCCCTAATGGGGCTAGAACCCGGTGTGCTGGCGCCGCAAGGCAGAGGATTAGCCTAGTGAGCCGCGGTGCCAGCGTACTTAGGGTTATCTACAAGAAGCTTATAAGCAAGGAAGAATGGTCTCAACCCTGAAAAAGAATTAATTCTAAATATGCAATAACAATAAGACGCAATAAGCATTAAGACTAGATGCAGAGTACTGTGGTAGCATCTTTTTAATGATAGTAACTTTGAGACTTGAAAGATGAACAAGATAAAGGAGACTTTTGTGCATAAGATATTTCAGGCAATACTTGGTGGGGGTCAACACGTTCAAGAAACAGGAGGGCTTTGAAGGTCCCGTTTAGATATTTAGGCCTGACTCTGAGGCTCTTAATGTGTTCTAAACATGAGAAGGGCATGCTCAGCTTTCCTTTTGAGAACAAAAGAAAAAGTGATACTGGGATACTCAGGACCGTGGGTTGGGAGAAGTAAGAGACCAGAAAAACAGGGAGCAACAAACCAGTTAGAGGGCTTATTGATAACTGCAGTTAAGATTGAATTGGACTAGGAAATAGTTGCATTAAAAACGCTGAGAGTAACAACGAAAGATCAACTGAGGAAGTATAAGAAGGGCCCCAAATGTTGAGAGTAGGGAGAGGTCTTGAGAATTACGTTCTTCAAACTTCATAATATATAAGAGGAACCCCAAGTCCCAGGAGGGAAGGATCCTCCCAAGCTGTATCTTGATGGTTACTTAAATGTAGTTCTCGAATCCACTTCAGTGATATTTCTATTATAATGATTCAACTTCAAAAACCAGCCAAATCAATTTGTTTTTTTCCTCTTTTAAGAATAAAAGTCCCTGTAAATTGGTTTTCTGTACATGCTGTAGAAATGCAAGCAAATTGGGCAGTTAGGTAAATGATTGCAATTGTGAAGCTATTGTTAAACAGCTGAATGCTCTCCTAGTGGTAAAAACAAAGATTGACTTCATCATTTATCAGTTTTTGCAACAAATGAACAAAAAAATGAAAATTTCAAAAATTAAAGCTTTTCCCATTGCATTTTGTTATGGATGTCAAAACTATTTTATCATAACAGAAGTCTCTAATGAATATTGTGTTTCCTATAGGGCTTTTCTAACTAAAGAGACATGAATTAAGGAGGTCTAGAACAGTGCCTGAGATTCTGTATTTCTAACAAAGGTCCAAAAAGTGCTAATGTTGCTGGTTTACAGAACACCCTTTAATAACAAGGCCTTGGTTTTCAAAGTTTTAATTCATAGGTTTCAGACATAAACAATTCACAAGCAAGAACCTGACCTGCCTAGGTTAAACCTAACCTGAGAAAGTCATTCCTCTTAACTGGGAGGTATTTTCAAGCACAGAAATAGATATAACACTCAGTTATTCTGAGTCCTTCTTAGTAAGACTGCAGCTTCTACCATTAGAGTAACACACAGTTTAGGCTCAGAGATTCTATTTCATTTTTTTAAAGATTTATTTATTTGAAAGACAGAGTTACAGAGAGAGGTAGAGAGAGAGAGAGGTCTTCCATCTGCTGGTTCACTCCCCAGATGGCTGCAATGGCCAGAGCTCCTCCAATCCGAAGCCAGGAGCCAGGAGCTTCTTCCTGGTCTCCCATGCAGGTGCAGGGGCCCAAGGACTTGGGCCATTTTCTACTGCTTTCCCAGGCCATAGCAGAGAGCTGGATGGAAGAGGAGCAGCCCGGTCTAGAACCGGTGCCTATACGGGTTGCTGGTGCTTCAGGCCAGGGCTTTAAACCACTGCACCACAGCGCTGGCCCCCAGGCTCAGAGTTTTTAAATTAACCCAGGACAACACTATCCTTGTGCCACCCACTGTTCTCCAATCTTCTGACATCCCAGGTAGACGAGCACTACATTTTCTACTTTGAGTATCTGAGTTCAAATCATGGTAGTAATTTTATAACCTAGGTTAAAGCAATTAATTATTTTTAGCCTTATTTTCCCTCAGTTTTATACATTAAGCTTCAGTAATGTCTAGAACTATTAAGAAATGGCAATGGAATATTTGAACTAAAAGTGTTCTGTTATATAGAAGCTATTAAAGAGTTAGAAGTAAATGTGAGAACTGGACCTTCTCTTCTCCATTGGACCCAATGATTTAATAGATAGCAATTCCTTCCTTCCTTCCTTCCTTCCTTCCTTCCTTCCTTCCTTCCTTCCTTTCTTTCTTTCTTTCTTTCTTTCTTTCTTTCTTTCTTTCTTTCTTTCTTCTTGAAAAATCCTTAAATTAGCTGAAAGAGTCCTTCATTCTGGATGAGCACAAATCCAGCCATATTGAAGCTGATAGGACATTCTGAGATATCCTCTAACCATAATGCCTACTCTTGACAAAGTGTCATATTGGAGAAAATGCCCAGCTCCTATTGCCTTCCTGAGGAGAGGAGAAAAGAACTGGAAGGTGTGTTCAACATTCTGATTTTGGGCAGGGGGGACTACTTGAGGCACTGGTTTCTGCCTCCTATATCTTGAAGTGCTGAGGCAACTTGCAATATTTCAGACAGTGGAGAGTCACTGAGAGTAAATGTGGCGGTCTGAACTAGCATATTAACACTTACTACAGCCTCTGCTCCTGGCACAGCATGGAGAACATGGGAGAAAAGCCCCAAATTCCAGCTTTTTCTGAGAAGATAAAAAGTTGGGCCATATTTACAGTGTTTCAAGTTTTCCAGGATCTACTGGAAGGAGTGGATTCTGTTTCAGAGTATGGGCAGGACTCAGTAAATTTTAGACATCTGTGAGCTTTTAGGAACAAAGGCTTCCAAAGCCTTGGCAACCCATGACAAGAGCCTAGGGTGATTACTGATGCCATAAACAAGACTGTCAATTTGCTAAGTCAACAACAGGAGTCACTGTGCACTTACTCCTCATGTAGGATCTCTGTCCTTAATGTGTTGTACAATGTGAATTAATGCTATAACTTAGTACTCAAACAGTATTTTACACTTTGTGTTTCTGTGTGAGTGCAAACTGTTGAAATCTTTACTTAATATATACTAAATTGATCTTCTGTATATAAAAATAATTGAAAATGAATCTTTTTTTTTGACAGGCAGAGTGGATAGTGAGAGAGAGAGACAGAGAGAAAGGTCTTCCTTTGCCGTTGGTTCACCCTCCAATGGCCACCACAGCTGGCGCGCTGTGGCTGGTGCACCGTGCTGATCCAAAGGTAGGAGCCAGGTGCTTCTCCTGGTCTCCCATGCTGGTGCAGGGCCCAAGCACTTGGGCCATCCTCCACTGCCTTCCCTGGCCACAGCAGAGAGCTGGCCTGGAAGAGGGGTAACCGGGACAGAATCTGGCGCCCCAGCTGGGACTAGAACCCGGCGTGCCGGCGCCGCTAGGTGGAGGATTAACCTATTGAGCCGCGGTGCTGGCTGAAAATGAATCTTGATGTGAATGGAATGGGAGAGGGAGTGGGAGATGGGAGGGTTGCAAGTGGGAGGGAAGTTATGGGGAGGGAAAAGCCACTGTAATCCAAAAGCTGTACTTTGGAAATTTACATATACTAAATAAAAGTTAAAAAAAAGCTGGTGGTTTGGACAACAGTGAAAAGCCCCCAGAATCTCTGACTAGGATGACTGGTGAAGGGCTTCCCTTGTTTCAATCTTTTTCATGAAGGGAGAGGTGGCTGTTTTACCTAATGCAAAGATACACCACCACAAAAAAAAAAGTAAAATAAACACAGAAATTGCAACAGAAACAAAAATATGATATTAATCTTCAGAAATCAACCCTTATGAAATGAAGACATATGATTTACCTGAGAGAGAATTCAAAATAACTCTCATAATGATGCTTGATAAGGTGAAGAGAACACCTTATTCATAAACAAAGTGAGAATTTCAACAGCTAGAAAACATTAAAATGTACCACAAACTCAGCTCAGAAATAGTTAAGCCGAAGAGCACAATACATGAAATAAAAAATTTACTACACAGGTTCAACAGCAGACTAGAACAATCAGCAGACTTGAGCCCATACCTTTGGAAATTGTATTCAGCTGAAGACATAAAAAGAAAAAAATATGAAAAAGAGTTATGAAAGCTTAGGAAACTTATGGGATCTGAGACTGACATATACATTTTGGGAATCCAAGAAAGAAAAGGGAGAAAGGGAAAGAAAGCTTATTTTTCAAAATGGCTGAAAACTATCCAAGTCTGGAGAAGAAAATGGACTTCCACATCTAGGAAGCCCAACAGTCTCATATAAGATAGACTCAAAGACATCCACATTGTGGCAAAAAAAAAAAATTATCAAAAATTAAAGATAGAAAAAATTGAAAACTGCAAGATGAAAGTGACTTATCATGTACAAGGGAATAATCCTAAAACTACCAGCAGAAATCTCGCCAGTTAGGAGAGTAGGATGACAGATTCAAAGTTCTGAAAGAAAACCACCAACAAAGAATATTACATAGGGAAGCACTGTCATTCAAAAACAAAGCAGTGATAAAGACCTTCCAAGAAAAATGAAAGCTGAGGGGATATTATCATCACCAGATTCATCTTAAAGCAACGCCAAAGGAAGTTCTTGAAAGTGTTACCTCCCTCCCCTTTCCCAATACCTCAAAAGGAGGAACATTCATTAAGGATTTGGCATCCAAGGCCCAAAAGTTGTTATCCAAGATGATGAATGCTGACATGGATGCAGTTGATGCTGAAAATCAGGTGGAACTGGAGGAAAAAACGCGACTTATTTATCAAGTGTTGGAACTCCAACACACACTTGAAGATCTCTCTGCAAGAGTAGATACAGTTAAGGAAGAAAATCCGAAGCTTAAATCAGAAAACCAAGTTCTTGGACAATATATACAAAACCTCACGTCAGCTTCCAGTGTTTTTCAAACAACGGACACAGAAGGCAAGATAAAGTAGGGGATTGATGTCCCTTCTGTTTCATGGAATTGCTGCTGACTTTTTTTATCCTTTAAAACCTTGATAGATTCCAAAAGTTACGTACTTTATTTGTGGCTTCACTGAGTATTTTTTTTTTATTTGACAGGTAGAGTTATAGACAGTGAGAGACAGAGAGAAAGGTCTTCCTTCTGTTGGTTCACTCCCCTAATGGCCACTACGGCCAGCACTGCGCTGATCTGAAGCCAGGAGCCTCCAGGTCTTCCATGTAGGTGCAGGGACCCAAGCACTTGGGCCATCCTCCACTGCCGCCCCTTCCCCCGGGCCATAGCAGAGACTGGACTGGAAGAGGAGCAACAGGGACTAGTACCCGGCGCCCCAACCGGGACTAGAACCCGGGGTGCCGGCACCACAGGCGGAGGATTAGCCAAGTGAGCCATGGCACCGGCCTTCACTGAGTATTTCTGAAGATATTGTCAGATGTAGGCAAAATTAACTAATTAACTAGAGATTTCCACAAGTTTATGCATTATGTTAGTCTATGAAAATGTGCAAATGTATTTATGACACTTGAAGAAAAATGTTTTATCAAATTTACTTTGATTTATAGGCTTTGCACTATCTTTTATTATAGGGCTAGTAAGATATACAAGAAAAACCCACCATTTTGTGAAAAAGTGACCAAAATCAAGTCCTGAATTCACAGCTTTATGTACCTGTCCACCATGTTGTGCCTCGGCTCCATTTGCCTCTTCCTTCGCACTCCCTTTCCCAAAGACAACAGTTTGACATTTGTAAAAGTATTTTTAATAGTTAATCATCTGTGATGCAGCCTGAACCCTAATTATTTAAACTTAACCAAAATAAGATACTTTCTCAGCTAGGGCTTGTCATTTGTGATATTTAGTAATAAAATAGGATTGCTGGTTTCTCTTTAATTAATTGAAAACAGATGGAGGCTAAAGAAATCATTTTTCCTTGAAAGTAAATTGTCAGAATTGATAAAAGCTTCCTTTTGTTCAAGATAATCTACTTGGTATCTGCAAAGACAGGAGTTCGAGTCATTTGTGTGTTTAAAAGTAGAAAATCTTGAGGAAAAATAAAATAGGGTGTAAAGGTACTTGGTAAACAGTAGTGAAACAACTCCAAATGTTTTTCACTCCCAATTTGTGTGATCTCTAGTGCAGAGTAGATATTTTGGGGAATATATATGAAAATGGATTGTTTGACCTTACATAGCCACCACTGGAAGAAAACAGTTATAAAGAATTAGATCTTAATTTGATATTTAATTATTTAATTGATTATTAATTATTTGATATTAATTATTAATTATGTGATTTTAATCCTTTATAAGTTGCATTTTGTAAGGTGCCTCTTCATTGTGCTGAGTGTTTCTTTTGCAGTGCAGAAGCTTCTCAATTTGATATAATCCCATTTGTCAATTTTGGCTTTGACTGCCTGTGCCTCTGGGGTCTTTTCCAAGAACTTTGCCAATGTCAATGTCATTTGAACAATGCCAACTTCTCGTGGGGTTTTTCCAATGTTCTCTAATAATTTGATGGTATCGGGTCGTAGATTAAAGTCTTTGACCATTTTGAGTGGATTTTTGTGTAAGATGTAAGGTAAAGGTCTTGCTTCACACTTCTGCATGTGGAGATCCAGCATCTTAACTACTGTGCAAACACCTGCCCATTGAACAGATATTTGTATTTCCACACTTACTGTAGCATTATTATAAACAGCTAAGTTGTAAAAACAACTTAATTGTTCACTGGCAGATGAATATATAAAGAAAAGTGGGTGTAAAAAAGCAGAAAATCCTGTTCATAGCTTAACCTTCAGAATATTATACTAACTGACATAAGTCTGCCACAGAAGGACAAATACTGTATAATTACCATAATAAGAGGTATCTAAATTAACCAAACCCATGGCAGAGAACAGAATAGTGGTTGCCAGGAAGTGGGGTAGGGGTGAAGGAAAATGAGGAGTTGTCGTTTAATTGGCATAAAGCTTCAGTTATGCAAGACAGTAAGTTTTATGACTTTTCTATATAACACAGTGCTATAGTCAACATTACAGCACTGTACACTTAATTTTTAGGATAACAGCTCCCATGTTATTTTCTTACCATGATAAACAAACAGTAGTATCTGTTAGGTTGTGCTTGCTATAAAAATGTATTGTTCACTCAAAGTAATCTGCTATATTATGTTATGTTACCTGATGAAGTTGTTGCCTGAATTTGTCACAGGAAATTCAATCTGATCACTTGCCTAGAAGAAATTCAACCACTGTCTACAACTTTCCTGTTACATAGTTAATATGAGCAGCCTCTAATTAAATCCTATCCAATTAAGAACTGTCTAACACTTCGGTCCAGATTTTCTAAATCTAGATTTTTATTTTATTTTATTTTATTTTTGACAGGTAGAGTGGACAGTGAGAGAGAGACAGAGATAAAGGTCTTCCTTTGCCATTGGTTCACCCTCCAATGGCTGCCGCGGCCGGCGCGCTGCGGCCAGCACACTGCGGCCAGCGCACCACGCTGATCCGAAGCCAGAAGCCAGGTGCTTCTTCTGGTCTCCCATGCAGGTGCAGGGCCCAATGACTTGGGCCATCCTCCACTGCACTCCCTGGCCACAGCAGAGAGCTGGCCTGGAAGAGGGGCAACTGGGACAGAATCTGGCGCCCTGACTGGGACTAGAACCTGGTGTGCCGGCGCCACAGGCAGAGGATTAGCCTATTGAGCCGCAGTGCAGGCCAAATCTAGATTTTCTAAATCATTCTTGCTAGGTACAAATACAGAAAACAAAAATTGTTTTTTGTGACAGTTTTTTTGCAGATAAAATTTTGATTTTTATGTATACACACATAGATGAACACATGTTTGAAATTTGTGTGAGTGAATCTTTTTTTAAAATATTTTATTTATTTATTTATTTATTTATTTGAGAAGTAGAGTTACAGACAGAGAGAGGGAGAGACAGAGAGAAAGGGTCTCCATTTGCTGGTTCATTCCCCAAATGACCACAACTGCCAGAGCAAGGCTGATCCAAAGCTAGGAGCCAGGAGCTTCTTTTGGATCTCCCACACAGATGTGGGGAGGCCCCAAGGACTTGGGTCATCTTCTACTGCTTTCCCAGGCCATATCGGGGAGATGGATCAGAAGTGGAGCAGCCAGGACCTGAATCAGCACCCATATGGGATACCAGAACTGCAGGTGGAGGCTTAAACTACTACACCACTGCACTGGCCCCAAGTGAATCTTTTAAGTGTCCAGAATACTGTATTTCTCACCCTAGGTCTAGAAAATTCAAAGCCACCTCCATAGCAGACAATTAAATGGAAATGGAAATGTTTTATGAAAGATTCAGTAAAGAGTATTGTACCTATTATGTTTTCTGGGTTGTATTAGCTATGAATCAGATTTAGATACAAAAATAGTAGGATACAGAGTTTATAAACTACAGATAATGAAGAAAGAAAGCCTTTACTTTATGAATTACACAGAGGGGCTGGCTTGTGGTACAGTGAGTAGATTAAATCATGATCCGTAATGCCTGGATCCTATAGGAGTGCTAGTTTTGAGTCCTGGCTGCTCCACTACAGATCCAGCACCCTGCTGGGGCCCCTGCCACCCATGTGAAAGACCCAGCTGGAGTTCCAGGCTCCAGGCTTTGGCCGGTCCAGCTGGAGTTTTTGCAGCCACTTGGGGAATGAACAAGATGGAAGGTCTCTCTCTTTCAGCCTCTAATTCTGCCTTTCAAATAAATAAATACATCTTTTAAAGAATTACATGAAACAACTATGGACATAAAGAGTTAATATTCTTGCATTTGATAAAACAAGAAAGTTTTGGTAAAGCCATCAAATCATAATGACTCGCACAAGAAAGGCTGAGTGGCAAAGGAAGACGAAGCTGTTGGTCAGCACTGGGGAAGAAGTCACTTCCCTAAGCTGCTTCTGGCAGAGCGTCTCCATCACTCCGGAGAGGAAACCTTAATAAACCACAATATAACACCCCTGTGTTGACAGCGATATTGCTTTTCTACTTCATTGCAATTCAACAATTAGAGGATTTCCTGAGTTCAGGACATTGCCATGGGACTGTGTGAGACACCAAGTCAGACACGCAGCAACACTCAGAGAACTTGCAGATGTATCACAAAACAAGAAGTGGACACAGATAAACTTACAGAACATGATAAGAAAGACAGAGAGGGGGAAACAAAAAAGAAAAATTGTATTTAGCTGGAGAAATGGAAGAATCTTTCACACAGGAAGTGATACTTTCATGAAACATAGATTTAATATTAGAGGATTTTGGAAGTTACTTAGTCTTATTGTCTGGGGGTGCTGGAAATGGTGGGGAAAGTCTGTTAGAGATTATAGCATTAAGTACAAAGCCTATTTATTTATTATTTATTTGGGAGAGGGAATGTGGAAGAGGGAGAGGGAGAGAGCAGAAGAAGGAAAGGCAGGAGGGGGAGAGGGTAGGGAAGACCATGCTTCCCCAAATTTACTCCCCAAATGTCTGCCAGTAGTTGAGTCAGGCTGAAGCCAGGAGCCAGAAAATCAATCAATGTCTCCCGCGTAGATGACAGAAACCAATTACTTGAGTCATCATCGGCTGCTTGTCAAGACGTTCATTAGCAGGTAACTGAAATCTGGAGCAGAGTAGGGCATGAAACCCAGGCTCTCTGATGTGAGATGTGGGCATCCCAAATGCCCTAAGTGACACTCCTAACACATGCACCAAGGGCCTTTCTATTTGCAATAACTTTAAAGAGTAACACAAGCGGGTTCCTCTATGCTCTTGACTCAATTTTCCTAGTGTATCCTTTTATATTTCCATGGTGCACTTGTAAAAACCAGGAAAAAACCTTGGTACAATGCTGTTTTTACTGTATGAATTTACAGTGTAAAATATGATGTTTTTACATATAAGCCTAGAGTGGAATGATCAGGCTAAGTAATTTTACATACCCACTACCTCCCATAATTATTCTTTTGGTAGAAAGAGAATACTTTCTTGGCATATTTTCGGTATATAATACAATATTACTAATGACACCTATTAGACAGTTCATTAGTCCTCCTGTCATTAACTCTCTAAACTTATTTATCCATATTACTGTAAGCTTGTATCTTTTGACCTATATTTCTCCTCCCCATCCTTAGTAACCACATTACACTCTTTATGTACTCAACTTTTTTTTTTTTTTTTGACAGGCAGAGTGGACAGTGAGAGAGAGACAGAGATAAAGGTCTTCCTTTGCCATTGGTTCACCTCCAATGGCCGCCGTGGCCGGCGCGCTGCGGCT